CAGACAGACAGACAGACAGACAGACAGACAGACAGACAGACAGACAGACAGACAGTGGGAAAGAGTGTACCAATCAAATTTTATTGTTTGTTATATCGATGTCCGCAACCGTCGACCAGTGCAATTAATCGTTTTCGTGCTTCTCTATGGCACACTCTATGTCTAGATAGTAGATAGAAGTCCTGTTTTGTTTTGTACAACAATTATATTTCTCATTTTGTAGCACCGGAAACTGTTTCGTATTTTTAACCGCACTAATCTGGAAAATGGCGGTGATGTATAAACAAGGCTGATTGTTCGAATGGTGTAAACATGACTAAAAATCAACAAGGTTTACTCGAATCTTTCACTTAAGAATGGCAAAGTCGTACATTAATATAATAGACGTCAGTGTAACTGTCCTGTCATTGCTCACGTTCCTGTTGGATGTAAGCACAGGTATTTACTTTAGAGATTTCTGATTCGTCTTTCCCTTGCCCTTACTTTGTTGTTTGTATCGAAGTCGACGAAGTGGCTAGCCGTAGACAAGAGTCTAACAGTCTAGCCGTACTTAGAGGTTGGATACGCAGGTCTCATTAGATCTAGATTAGATTCTAGATCTAGATCTGGATATAGATATCTAGATCTAGTGCGAAGTGTATACAGACCCGGTAACTGGTAACCGATAACAAAGTCACGAAGTATACAGTACCCGGTAGCCTTCCGGGTAGGGGACCTCTTTTGAATTTTGGAAAGTTCCAGCGCCCAGTCCCGGTAGTGTGTGTGTGTGAGAGAGAGAGAGAGAGAGAGAGAGCAGGGGGAAGTGATAGCAAAATGTAGGCCTACATGCCCCAGTTAGCAGGAGGGAACGAGAGAAAGATAGAGTGGAAAATAGGTGGGGAGAAAGAAACAAAGACAAACAAAGAAAAAGAGAATGCGAGCGATACACAGAGACAGAAGAGGAGAGAGAGAGAAATAGATCTAGATTCTAGATCTAATCTAGATCTAGAGAGGGTGACAGCTCGATTGTAATTATGACATTGTTCTTTTCTTCAAATTGTGATTCATCCAACTCCAAAACGGAGGAAAAACGGTCGTTCATCGAAAAGACATCCGCAATCTTCATTTAGAATTAGATTCTAGATCTATATTTTGTAGATCTAGATCTAGGCTAGCCTTGAAACTAGATCAATGATTTTTGTCTGTCTGTCTAGACCTAGACCGAGGCCATAGACATAGATCTAGAAAGAAGAACCTTGATCTAGAAGTCTAGGTCTAGATCTACCCTGAGCCAAGAACTTTCTGAAATCACAAAAGAGTTCCCATACGGGGTCTGTATACTTTGTTGTGACTTTGTTCCCGGTTACCGGGTCTGTATACACTCTCTTAAAAATAGGCCGGCACTATTTCTCTGAACGTTCGGGAAAATAAAGCTGGGCACTATTTCTCCAAACGTTCGGGAAAATAAAGCTAGGCACTATTTCTCCGAACGTTCGGGAAAATACAGCTGGGCACTATTTCTCCGAACGTTTGGGCAAATAAAGCTAGGCACTATTTCTCGGAACATTCGGGAAAGTACAGCTGGGCACTATTTCTCCGAACACTCTGAAATCACATCCTTTCCGCAAATTTCGGATATATTATATTGATCTATAATTATTTATAGTAGGCTAGGTCTACCAAAGATTGTTCGTATATATGGTTCAATCGGTCCCAAAAATGTCCGCATAAATATTTATAAAGAAATGCTACAGTTCCAAACAGTTTTTCGCTACAGATATGACGTGTTGCCTATGAAGGGTGCTGCTCTTAAACTTTTATTAATGTGTTGTGTTCACTCGTGTGCTGTCTAGATCTAGATATACGGAGGGTTATTGATAACGACACATAGAACTAGCATAAATATCTGCGTTTGTCGCGGGCGCGACCGCGACCAATCAATCGTGGCTCGATTTTTTTGCATTTTTTGGTCCCCAAATCGGAGAATAAAAGTCAAATAAAAAAAAATTAAATAAGAAAGAAACCGAACCTCTTTACTTTTGAAACAGTTCACCTCTTGCTTCACTTCGTCTCTTTATCACTTGTTGTCACCACGTTGATTTGTTGAATACATTACAGTTACTTTTATTTTTCCCTCTTTGTGGTGTTTTATTTTGTTAGTGTGTATTTTTTTTTCTTTCTTGTTATTGTTCTGATGTGTTGTTTTTCTATCAATTTTTTTAATATGGGGAAAAAGGGGTAGCGTACGTTCCACCAAAACCTATCACATGTACTGACACTGGCAAGCCCCTTAAATGTGTGCGATTCCATAATTTACTTGTAATATCCTGTACTTTGTTTTAAAATTACGCACATTTAGTGTTAAAACAGCCAATCTTCTTCGGACAGGTGGACTCGCGCCCTTATTTGTTAATTTTTGTGGTTGTTTATGGGCTGTTCTAATTTTGATTTCATTCTGTTGTGAAACCTTTCTTTTTCACATTTTTACACTCATCTAAAAATCTCTAGACTAGCCAGACTAGCTTTTGAAAATTGAAATAGATATAAATAGACCAAAAAATTTGCTCGTGTGTGTGTGTGTATGCATGTGCGTGAGTGAGTGTGTCTGTGTGTGGTAGTAAGTGTGTAAGTGTAGAGTGAGGAGCCCGCGTGTGTTTGTTTTTCTGGCTTTATTCAGTAACAGTTCAAAGTATACAAAAATAGAAACACAGGATCCATTCACTCCAGGGCTCATGAGTCGTTCCTTTCTTTCAGTTTCACTCATTCATTCAATTCCCGTGTTTTCTCCCGCGGCTCATCCCCTTCCACATGACTTTCACACCCCACCCCCTCCCTCCAGGCACACACATAGAAAATCTCACTCATTCCGTTGCACTCACCCTGCGAACCATGGACAATAATATAAGCAAAACACTGCCTTAGCCGCATTCCTTTCGTTCGTAAGCTGTGGACCAGGCCAGGGGGGTCGGTGTCGTCGTCTTGTAATTGCTGTCGCCTGTGGATACACTCGTACATTCTTCCTTTCACCTGCTCTTTCACTCATACTGTCTCTCCATCCACAGTTCAGCTCGTCATACGTTCAAAAGTTGCCCACTGATCATGTTTAGTTAGTGTGTGTATAAGTTTGTGTGTGTAGCCTACATGTGCATGAGTGTGTAGTGGGTGTTACTGAAGGTTGTCTGTAGGCGGGCTTGCCATTTGGTGTTCCTTCCCAATCCCAGACCAGAGGCAGAATGAAAGTTGGCGCCGAACTCTCGCAATAAATAGGCAAAAAATCACGAGACCGGAAGCCGGAAACCGTTCGGAGAAATAAAGATCGGCACTATTTCTCCGAACGTTCGGAGAAATAGTCACTTCGTTAAAAATAAGTACGGCTAGCCCAGCTGTCTAGCGGGCCAACCAGTCTAGCAGTACTAAGAGGTGATTTTGTAGTTTCGTTAGCTATTTTTAAAGTCAAGAGTAGAAGGGTTTCAGGGGGGCTTTCCTTCCTGACCTAATAAAAATATGGAAGGGGGGGGGGGGGGGGGGGGTGAATTTTACCATAATTTGATAGGTTGCATCCCTATACTTTGTGTTGCCTATTTGGAACTTGGCCTTGGTCATCAAGACTTAGATCTAGATCTAGGTCTAGATAATCTAGCTAGATCTACTAGACTCTAGATCTAGAAAATCTAGATTCTAGATCTAGTTCTGGATTTCTTCTCTGGATGTAAAAAATTTTTAACGAACGGAACTACAAGATCTCCCTGGAATCTAATCTAGAGTCTAGAATCTAGATTTAGATATATAGATTTTTTCAAATCTAGATCTAGAATCTAGTTAAGTTCCATTATTTGAAGTCCACGATCCATTGTTTACATCCAGAGAAGAAAGTCTTGATGACCAAATAGAGGCAACGCAAAGAACAGGGATGCAACCTAGCCTAACTAACTGCAAAACATCAAATATTAATATTCCTTCGTCCATTCAATTGCCACCGAGTGACGCGGTCGCAATTGACAAAAATTGACAGTAGTGTCAATTGCCACCAAGTGCAGCGGTGTCAAGTCTGAAAACAACACTATCTTTAGTCTTTAGCTTTCTATTCATAATGTGTGTCTAATGGATCAATTTGTTCTCTACTAATTTCATTGGACGAGCCTCTAGTCCAGAGCTACGGTACCAACTTTGCGTGTTTTTAATGAGACGTAGGCCTCGATCTAGGCTAGCCTTAGCCTACACTTCGGTGTAGAACCAACACAGGCAATTCTAGAAGTAGAAGGTCACAAACGCACACAAACTCAAGCAGAAATTCATTTTATATCGGGGAACATGTATATAAATCCGGGGGTATGGGGGTCAGGAAAAGACACACACACACACACACACACACACACACACACACACACACACACACACACACACACACACACACACAGAGGGACAGAGAGGAGAACGCACAACACTGAGCACAATAGGCTAGATATACTCATCAATGCAAAAGAGCTCCAATTTACTCGGCCTAATAACTTTTAATAAAGTAGATTTGACCCTCAAATTTCCGTGATAACTAATGTGTATATTATAATATTTTGTTTTCTGTACTTTTATTCTCTTAAGCTGTCCTTTTTTTGTACTGAAAAATTCACCAGAAAAACTTCCTTAGTCTTAGCTTTACTTAGATAATTTATATTCAGGCCTGTGCAAATTTAAACTCACTACTCTGGTTATGAGTTTTATTACATTTTTTATTTGAAAGTGTATAAACTAGGCCTAACTAACTACGCCTAGCTATTGCGTTGGTGACTTATTTCATGCTTTAAAAAATTTTGTTTGGGAATTTCAGTGAGATCGAGCCTTTTGCCCCTGTATATCTTCGTAATTGATTTTTCTTCACTGAGGTTTGAAATTTTCTTGAAAATATTGATTTGCACCAGTTTTTGTGGCCATTTTGCAGAAAAAAAATACAGCAGTTCACCCCTCAAAAGCCAGCAAGGAAAGGGAGAAGCAACAAATTATTTTTAATGACTGGAACAGAAATGTTGAAATGCGACAGAAATGTCAACATGTTGTTATCTCTTCCCAGACCTGGTGGTGTGTGTGCAGCTGCTGAGCCAGGGCCATGTGGTGTGGGGCGGGATGATGGTGGCGTCTGTGTCCGTCCCCGCGCTGATGATGAGCGTGTTCAGTCTGACCTGGCACTACCATGACGCGTCCTTGAGGCCGGCCGTGCTCGCCACGCACCTCCTGCTCTTGGCTCCCGTGGAGAGGTTGGTTTGTCCACTTTTATTGGTGTTTTTTTTTTCCAGTGCAGGTGTTTTTTACTACTTCCCCATCGACACAATCTAGGTCAATTAGGAAGCAGGCTGCCAACCCTGCCTGTCAGGACAACCCGGGCCAACAGGGATACAACATCCCAGCAGAAAGATCGAGATACTCTGTACAATTTTCACCCCACTGGGGAATCGAACTTGGATTTCCTGCATGAGACAACGTAGTGCGTGATGACTACACTACAGATGCATGTGGTTGATATATTCATCCATGCCAGTAAACATAGTACTTACTACACACAGTGATTTTTCTGAAAACTGTCGATCGCTGTTGTCGTTTTGATGATTTCTTGGAAGATACAGACATGAGGCAGAGTGATGAGATTGAGATTTGAGTAGAAATTTGCTTTTTAAAGTAAATTTCCCAATGAGAAAGTAATTTTTTTTTCTTTTATAGGAGTAACATGGCATAATCCATTTTTTGTAATGTCTTCAAGTTTTTGCAGACATTACAAGAAATTCATATTTTTGCCTTTGTTTGAAGTTTTAGAAGATAACGTGTAGAATTGTTCAAATAAAATTAGATGGATTGCAGTAAAATTTACCCCACTTGGGGAATATAGCTGAATGGGGCTGGGGGAACTTTGGGG